AAAAAAACACCCCCCCCCCCCCCCCCCACTGGCTGCCATCGGACATAGGGGCACCAGTTTAATAAAACAAACAGATGCCATTCCTACCCATCCTGGCTAATAGCCATTGATGTACTGCAGAGGGCCCCATAAATCCTAAGGATGGCTCTGCTTGCAATCCTCAGTGGGGTGTAGGTGTTTCTATGGGGTCTAAATTGCCATAAAAGAAGCAGGGATGACAAGGAAGCCTTGGTCCAAACCCATCTGCTGGGAATTGCCCCATTTATCCCAGCCACCGTGGTGTGTGTATGTGGGGGTTGGGAGCCTCCTTGAGTTCCCTCTCCTTCTCAGCTCTGTGATGAGATGGCTTCCCATTGGACCCTAGCTAGGGTTGTATCTAGATGGAGCACCCTCTCAAACCAACCAATCCACAGCAGCCAGGCTCCTTAGTTCTTGCAGGAGTTCTAAATGTAGAGGGAAGATCTTGCACCATAGATGTACCCACAATGCCTTTACAATTGTTGCCTTTTGTTCCCAGATGTGCCTCAGGCCACACCTTTTTCTATACAGGTGAGAGATGCCAGGTGGCACAAGTCTACGGGAATACCCTTGGAATGATCATTGGTGGAACTGCCGGAACAATAGTATTAATCATCGTAATTGTTTCCATGCTAACCCGAAGCTCAATGTTTCAGTATGATGTTTTTCCTGGTGCTTAAGAGAGTTTTGTCTTTCATGACAACAGATTCCAGAATAAAAATATGTGGAAACTTTCAAGATGTGGATATGGAAATGTTCTATGAAGTTCTCAGTGATGACGCTTTCATGCTGCAGGGCATAACACTTAAAAAGTCCTCACCTAAAACTGTTGTTTAATAAAGATTTATAATGTGAGAATGATCTGGAGACTCTTCAGCATGTTCTTTTATCAGATTGTTGTTCACTCTAAGACAAGCAGGAAGGAGGTGATCTCATGCATTTTGTCTAACCAGTGTAAAATAGTTAACTTTACGGGGAGAACTTTTTAAAGGATTGAGAGAAATTCCCTTCTAGAACAAGCCCATAGAATTCAACAGGGACAGCACCCAATAGGTTCTTCAGAAATACAATAGGCCACTATAGAAATTACTCTAAATCCCTATTGGCGTAAATCTCCAGCAGAAGTAAATTGACATAGCTTCAGTAATTTCTATTGAGCTATGCTGCTTGAAACCCATTGAGAGGCTGGTGGACAACATGTTATAGAATGAATGCTCCTTTCTATGACTCTTTCAACCATCCAATGGATTTTATATCAGGGATATAATTTTATATTGAATCCTTATGATCATTTTCTTATAAATTCTATAGGAGCTTTCCATATGAATGTATAAAATATTTCACAGCTGGTCTGCTCTGTGGGTTCCATCCAGAGCCCATTGAAGGTGATGAAAAAACTCTCAGTGACTTTACTGGGTATAAGCGAATGCCCAAAAGAGCAAAACAAAGCCTTAAAATATCACCAGGATTTACAATAGGGATGGATTTGGCCTTTCAGCATGTAGTGTTAAATTCAAATGCACTTGGGAATACACAACAAAGTCATTGTCTCATGGAACAGGAACCCATGGGAGAAGGGTGGGAATGTTTTGTAAAGGAAACTGTGGGTCTGAATCCTGGGAGGTTCTGAGTGAATCTGGTGAATGCTGAGCATCCTTCGTTCCTGTTGATGGTGGTAGAACTGCCAAGATTCTATGTTATCAGGGGTTCCAATTATTTCCCACATCTGAGACTCTATTTTCAAATTTCATCCAAGAGCTGTTTCATGTAGGAGGAACGCAGAGCTTCTGAAGACAATGGAAGCTCAGACAATAGCAATCGGAATGACACCACCAAATATTTATTGAACACTTGAAAGCGTAACTGCAGTGAAGGGGAAATGGAATATTGCAATGGGGTGAACCTGACCTTTTGAGACCCCCTGCTGGTGACCCAATTGTGCTACGACTCCCCACTCTTACAAAAGGAGCCATGAGGCTGGGTTCTCCAGGACTCAATCATCCAGAGCCCAACAGGGAGCTGCAGGGGCTGAGCATGTCAATTCCTGCCTAGAGACAGAGAAGGAGGAAGGTGGTTCTGCTCTGGCCAAAGGGGATTTGATGGACTGTATTTGCCAAATCTGGGAGCAAGAGGACTTGAAACCTTTAGTCCTGGGATAGTGGACAGCTGTGAAGAGGCCCAGAGAATATAGCGACAATCCAGTCTAGGAAGTATGTGACTGGTATATATAGAGACACTGGTTTGAGACCCAGACTGGGTCTAGGTCCTCCTATCAGCCAGTGCTGGAAAGACCTAAGGCCTGGAAAGGAGACATGGCTAGTTTAAAATCTAGGAAAAGGGGCTAGATTTAAAGGGGGTGGAGACCCTCATAAGGTTAGACTGACAGTCCTAATGGCACTCTCTACTCAGACCAGAGAAGGGGATATATTTCCTCTAGAAGTCTGATTAGAAAGCTGGACTTAGGAGGAGCTGAAGAGAAAAGCTGCCCTCAGAAAAGAAGGGCTGAGTCTAGTTTGAGACAGGATTGGAAGACTTTTGTTTGTGTTTGCTTTGGACTTTAATACCCCAGAAGGGTCTCAGAGGGGCAGTCATGTTAGTATGCAGGGCTCGACAAACTATTGAATCTACTTGCCCGTGGCGAGTAGATTTCATCCCGGCGCCCCGTTTACCGGCGGTGCATGCAAGCGCAATGCGGTTCTTGTGCATGTGCAGTGTGGGGCTGGCGAGGGGCTTTCGCTGCCGTTTGTCAAGCCCTGTTAGTATGTATCTGCAAAAACAAGGATGAGTCCTGTGGCACCTTAGAGACTAACAGATTTATTAGGGTAAAACCTATCAGCTTTCATGGGTAAAACCTACTTCATCAGGTGCATTGGAATGGAAGTTAGAGAAGCAGGGGGTGTATCTGTAAGGAGGAAGTTGCTTGTGTTAATGAAGCTAATCAAGTCAGGGTAGAAGCAGGTCAGTCACAGTGTTCAATGTGGAGATGTGAATATCCAGAAAGGGGAAATTGCCTTTGTAACACATTAACCAGATGAGATCCTTATTCAATCCTAAATTGATAAGTGTTTAATTTGCAAATTAATTCCAGTTCAGTACTTCCTTGTGTAATCGGGGTTCGAAATTCTGTTGTAGAAGGACGGATACTTTTAAATCCATTACTGAATGTCCAGGAAGGTTAGGATGTTCCCCTACAGGTTTAGGTGTGTTACCATTCCTAAAGTCTGATTTGTATCCATTTGTTGGGTTTATCTGTTGTTGACTGGGTTATTTAGCTGGAGAGCCAAGTGACTGAAGACCTGCCTAGTGAGGTCAACAACCTACAAGGAAAGATTGCAGCACCATACCTAGCTAACAGATGGCGCTCGTAAGAGGAGAGTGTCCCTTGTTACAAGCATGCACAATCATTGTGTGAGCAGTGGATTGTACAGAGTGGACCAAGTTCTACTCTGTTCCACTTGCTTTCAATCTGGAATTTACTACAGTGAGCCAGCGAGTAGAAAGTGGTCATGTACATGAAAACTAACTGTTGAAAGAACCACACGAATATGAAAAAGGTGACTAAAAAGGGATCATGATAGGGATTTACAAAATAAGGACTGGAGAAGGTGAATAAAGAAGAGTTATTTACTCCTTCCCATAACACAAGGACTATGAGGTCACCAAATGAACTTAATGGGTAACAGGTTTAAAACAAACAAAAGGAAGTATTTCTGCACACAACACACGATCTGTGGAACTCCTTGCCAGAGGATAGTGTGACATCCAACAGTATACTAGTGTTCAAAAAAGAACTAGATACATTCATAAAGGATAGGTCCATCAGGGGCTATTACCTAGGCTGGGCAGGGATAGTGTCTATGGCCTCTGTTTGTCATAAGCTGGGAATGGACAACAGGGGTGCGATTATTTGATGATGACCTGTTCTGTTCCTTCCCTCTGGGGTACCTGGCATCGGTGACTGTGGAAAGGCAGGATACTGGGCTGGATGGACCTTTCATCTGAACCAGTCTGGCCGTTCTTATGTTAATTAATTCTAGGAGGCTGTATTAAACGGGATGCTAGACTAGATGATCACAATGGACCCTTTCTGTCCTTAAAAATCTGTGAAAAAATAGACTTGTAACTTAGCACTAGCAAACAAGTTACTTTGCTATGAGGGGATTAAGCAGGAAACAGTAAACTAAAATGAATAGGGACTCGTGCATACCAAGTTGTCGATTTCATGTCATCAGCTTTCTTGCGGGAACATGCTTTTTAAAAATGAAACTCTCCTATGGGCTATATGGGATTTTTATGGCTCGCTGCCTATATGTGGGGAAGGATTTCAGATCTATGACTTACTGGTTTCAAACTCCACAGGTGAGCTAATGAAGAGAAAACAAAAAAAGTCCTATAGCGTTGAGCAGACAGGAGTGTGTTCGATACACAGAGGAAAAGAAATTAACGTTGTAGAATAGGGGAAGGAATGTGTTTAGGAGGTGAGACCAGCTCTGCAAATTAAGGGCTGAGGAGCAATAATGTGAGAACTTTGCTCTCAGTCCATATAAATGTAGTACAGTTATGACCAAGATGGAGGCCAGAGTCCTCTACAGATCCAGAGACTGATTAAATTGTGTGTGTGGGGGGGGGGGGGGGGGGGGGGGGGGGGGGGGTCGAGTCACATTGGCTTTCCCAATGAAGTGCTTCAATTCTGATTGTAGGGACCACTTCTAGGAAAGAGACTATAGTTTAGTCTCCAATTGTTGATTCCTACTTATTGTATAGGTCTTTTAATTGATAGCTCTCAAAGTGCGTTACAAAGGAAGGGTAGCATCGCTACCCCCATTTTACAGATAGAAAAACTGAGGCACGGAGTGGGGCTGTGACTTCTCCAAAGTCAGCCAGCATTCAAGGCAGGAATAGAACCAGGACTCATAAATCCTAATCCAGTGTACTATCCCCTAAGCAGCCCTGCTTCTGTGATGTTGTCACCGGTCTATTAGGAATGGGACAGATACCACTGCACTGGCGGGAGCTGGAAGGAAGCAGTGCATTCAGGCTTGTTTGCCTTTGTAGGCAAAATGTAATTTGAATGGTAACTGTAGAAGGAAATATGAGTCTCCCCCATGCTTTGCATACTGTGCCATTTTCATAAGGGGTGGGAGGGTGTAAGGTATCAGTGCATGTTCCTGGCCTGCAACACAGCCCTTTGGACTGCACTATGCATAGGATAATACTTTACCTAACCTGGGAACAGCTTTGCAGCGTACACTGTCACTGTTCCAAAGGTATAAGTTCACTTGTATACCAGATATCACTATCTTAGTACGGACCTTTATTTTCTGTTATTTTATCTAGTCCCCAATTATTTCCAGCACCCACACCAATTATATGTGTTAGTTCCTGCAAGAACTGGGAAGAGAGGCCATACACAGTTGAGCGTAAGCCTGACCTGTGTGCAAAACACACTGGGAGTTTGGTTTATAGATAGCATAAAGCCTTATAGAAATACGATATTGACTAACAAACCCCATGAGGGCTTGTGACATACTAAAGTACAATCCAACCTAATGAGAAGCTGTGTTTCGCCCTGACTAGAACAAGGGGAGGAGTGAATGGAAAGCACATAACACTCCCTAAGAAGAAGCACCTGAATTTTAGGAAGGCTAATGCAAAAATTAAAACACAGAGAAGTGAGACAGATAACTACTGCTTCTGAGAAACTTGTGAGTATGGTGAGCTGGATTAGACCAATAGTTCACCAAGTTGTGAAAAGCCACTTTTCAGGAACATTGATAAAAACTTGTTGAATTGAAATAGTGCTGCAGAAAACGAGTGTTTGCTGTTACACTAGCAGCCTTTATGAAGTGG